CAGATGGTTCCTGGGCACTGTGCTGGGCTGGGTGGCGCTCAGCTTCTCCAAGTCCTATGAGGTTGTCCAGAGTATTCTGTTGATGGATGGTGTCAGGATGTGGCACTGGATTAGGCAGATCTCTGATCCTCCAGGCCCCACATGCCTAGATGAAATGTACCCACAAATTATAGTGCCAGAGCCTTTAGCTGGGATGGAAGGAGCTTAGAACCTCTCAGACCTATGTGGCTACTGAGGATGCACCAGCAAAGATGGCACTGGGGTTTTATGTTGGGTTGGGAAGAGCTCAAAGCCTTCAGAACCCATACAGCTAGTCAAGGTGCACCCCTAGTGGACAGTGCCAGGGATATCAGCTGAGGTGAGCAGGGTTTGGTATCCATGGGACTTTTGGGGCTGGCGAGGGTGTACTCCCAAAGTATAGCACTGGGGGCTTACAATGGGCTGATTGGGACTAAGCTCCTCTGGGACCCTGACACCAGCTTAAGCACACTCCCAGGGCATTGCACTGGGCTGGACAGCACTCAGTTCTTCTGGAACCAGCCTGCACTGGGCTGGACAGGACTTGGCTCCTCTGGAACCAGCTTGGCTAGCTGGGGCACACTGCCAAAGTATGGTGCCAGGGCTTTGCACTAGGCTGGGAGGAGCTCAGAACCTCCAGGTCTCACATGGTTGGCCGGGGCACTCCCCCAATGAATTATGCTGGGAAACTGAGTTGGACAGAGCATGGATCCTCTGGGACCTGCAAGGCTAGCTAGAGCACACTGCAAAGTATGGAGCCTGGGCTTTGCACTGAGCTGGGTAGAGCTAGGAATTCCCAGGACCCAGGCATCTGATTAGAGTGCACACCCAAAGTATGGCATGGGGGTCTTGCATTGGGCTTGGTGGGTGTTTTATGAGTTTTATTTGAGCATCTAAACATAACCACTGCAGCAGCCTTCCTCTTAAAGGTGGTAGAAGGTGAAAGTTTGCCAGTCTTAAGAGTTTTCACTCTACGAATCCCCAAAGCATTTTGTGAAACCTACTTTTAGTGAGAAAATGATGTGCGTGAATATGTGTGTGTGTGTGTGTGTGTGTGTGTGTGTGTGTGTGTGTGTGTTAGTAAATGTGATAAGAAGGGGGATACTAGTCGAACAAACCTGTAATTCTAGCCCTCTGGGAGGACAAGCAGGAGAACTGGAAGTTTAAACCCACCCTGAGTGACAAAGTGTCTGAGAAAGAAAGGAAGGAAGGAAGGAAAGCAGGAAGGAAGGAAGGAACTCAATGTTTTAGGAAGTTTCTTGGCTCAATCCTCAGTACTGAAAAAAATAAGGTTTTGTTTCATTTGTAACTTCAATTTGGTATTTTTCTGAATATTCTTCCAAGAGTCTACCAAATTTTTTCATTTCTAGACCACTGTACAAATACTTGAATTTCTTTTGCAAAGAGGGCTTACCTTAAAATATTTAAAAGTATTCCCTGTCTCCTTGAAGTTTAAATTGTTTTCATAACTGTTGTAGTCTGGATTTTACTATGATTTTAGAGGGGACTATAGCATCATAGGGATAATACATGACTATTCAATTATTTTGGTAAAGTGCTGTCTCCTCAAAAAGACTAACAGTTGACACTTGTTATGGGAAGAGATGAAAGAGTGATCCCTTCCAGTACAGAAGTCCAGACATATGGAACTACACAGATACATGGTACTAATGAGGGGTTTTGGCTTAGGAGGGTCAGGGAAGTTTTCATGGAGGAATTAATGATTAAGATGAACTCTTAAGAATCACTGAAATTTGACTAAACAGAGAGAGTGGTGGAAAGTATATATACACACAAGAATATGCAATGAGCATTTCAGGCAGAGGGAAGAGAATGTGTATAGTGCTTACAGTGAAAAAGGCCATGGCACAGTCTAGAAACAAATAGAATACTAATTTTAACTAGTTTTTCATATTTAATTCAAAATTTAACCTGGATTTTGGTATGTAAAAAGTTGAAAATGCAATAATATCCAGCTTCAAAATACTGTTAGACTATATCATGTATGTTGAAGTTGTGGATATAGCATATGAAACACGACAGAGAAAACAAACAAATATACCTATGCTGTTGAGCCAACAATCTGAAAGGTGGAAATGGCAGATAAGAAATATGTGAAACCTACTTTTAGGTTAGGATTATCTGGTGGTGAAACACTATTCTGCTTAAATGGTTATGTTTTGATCTGCGCTGTTTCGTTGTTATGCCCTCTTTTATCTCAATCTCCACTCCATTATTTACTTTTTTATCTTTATCCTTTTAATTAAAGGAAAAAAATAGCAGGATATATTATAGTAACCCACTTTGACTTTTCATTACCTTGATTTAAAGCCCTGTATTACTCTCACCATCTGGTTTTTAACTGATGTTCCCCTATTCTGTTTTGCTGGATAGTATCAGGTTCGAAAGTTTAGGCATCAGCTGTGAAGATAATGAGATTCATTATGACGCCCATTCTTGTTGACTTTTATCTACTTTTGAAGACCTACAATGTCTCCAATGTTTTGGTTTTGTTGGTTTTATTCTTTACTGTTTTGTTCAATTGTATTATAACTAACGATATAGGCAATTCTATTAGAGATAGCGGGAGGCATTATGGTAACCATTGTTGATCACCTTGTATTATGTTTTTACATTATCTATTATGTCCACCCTTTTGACTTGACCGATTCTGTTCTGTTATGTCACATTTGGTTTTACTCTCTTCCAAAAAAGTAATAAGAACCGTGGGAGCAATGAAACCCAAAATGTGTAATAGTCATGGTACAAAAGAGAGGAAAAGAAAGTGCTCCAAACTATATAACTGCGTGTATATTTAAGTGTATAAGATAGAAAATGATATCACAGAGTTTTATTGGATCAATGAACAGAACTGTTTGCAGTATCATTGATGGAATGTCCACTTTACAAGCTTTAATTTTGTGACTTGAACAATTATTTCTAAGATGACAATATGTAATCCATTAACTAGTGATTTCCTACTGTTCATTTTTTTTCTGTAAATCTGTATAACTTGTACCCTTTCCCTGCTTTTTTTTTCTTTTCTCCTTAAATAAAATTAAAAAAAAAAGAAATATGTGAAATGCAAATCTTCCTCACAATTTTTTGTCCAACACATACACCTGTGCATGCAGTGCACAGATGAATTCCTACATAGCTGTTTAGTTGAGGTGACAAGTCCACTGCAAAGAATTGAAGGATGTTTCTGGCAGGTGTCAAGTTCTGAATAATATTCTGTGGAAGATATGAATTGGTGAATAGAAGAGAGGGGGCTTCAAGCAGGAGAGACAGTATGGGTGATGTCTTAGTAGTGGAAAGACAAGGGAGAAATCTGAGATCAATTAGATACACATGAATGTAAAAGCAACAGAGTCTAACTTGAGGCCATCTTAGACTCTCTATGACTCATTAACTAGTCAATTAAAATTAGGAAATTTAAATTTCATTGGGTACCATACATACAGAAACAATGGTCTATTTATTTGGATTTAGCTTTTAAATAATAAATTGTCAAAAATATCAGTATTAATATCCACACTTGAGTATAGTATGGACTAGCCTTCTGCAAAGCTGTGAGCAAGGTGAAAGTTGCTGCTTGATTTTCTCAGAATTTTTCTGCAATTTTGTGTAATTGGTCACCTACCACAATTTCTGAAGTCCTGTTTGTTTATGCATGTTATTTTAGCAGTTATTGATTTTGATACCTCATAAAATAATGACTTTTCTTTCTCTGGGCATTAACATTTTTTGAAAGAATGCTTAAAATTCACAAATACTCCAAACAAAGGTATCCACTTCTGGTAAAATAGCACGTGAAGGAATAGATATGTTAGAGTAGATAATATTTCCTATCACACTTGAAACTAAAATTATCCCTTTAGAATCTTGGCTTTTGTTCTAATTTAAACTTCCTGAGTGTTGAGTCAATAAGTTGGGACAGATGCATGTATTAATTCGGAGTGAGTTTGATCTGATGATGCAGGATATGGCTCATTGAAAGCAGCCTATGTTCAATTGTTTGCAACTGTTATGACTTTTATCTAGATATATCCTCCAAAACTCATGTACTTATAGATGGGGATTTTTGGAACTTGCTGGATCTAGGGTATGTGATACTAGAATTAAGGGTATCTGGTACTCAGTTGATTCACTGATTGGAATTAATGTAGTTCTGGGTGTGGATGAATGCATTCACTGGACAGAGAAACCCCACCTTGAATGTGGGTGACACCACCCAAAAGGCTTGTAGCCTGGATGGAATAAAAGGGAAAAACAGGCTCACTGTTTTCTGCTACTACCTTCTACTTCTCATGCCGTGAACTGTTTCTGCTCTGTGATGTTTCTCTGTCATGTCACTCTGCCTTGGAGCCAGATGACTATAGACTGAAACTTCTACAAGGTCTGAGGTTAAATAAACCTTTCCTCCTTTAACTTGTGGGTGTTGGTTATTTTGTCACAGCAGTTAGACAAAGTAAGTAAGAAAATCACTTTGGTTAAAAGTGTGGAGCTGTAGAGTTACCATGCACCAAGACTTATTATCTTAATTCTACCATTTTTTTTTTGTTGCATGTGCATCAGTTGCCTCATCTTTAGTAAAACAAAGACAATAAAAATCCTTATCTCATGTAGTTACTGTGATGATCAATGTGTGAAGAGTTTAAGATAATGTTTGACACATAATCAAGTTGTTATTATTGTCAGTAGCACTACCACACTATTACCAACCACATTACCCTCAGGTTCTGTTTTAACAGAAAAATAAAGTCTTATAGACTCTTGCTAAAACAGAGACCAGCAGTTGCAATGGAGGAAATGGGAAATCCAGTTGCATTCACTACCTCATATTCATCCCCTAACTATATCTTAAATATGAATATCTTAAAAATGTGAAAACTATACTTGCAGGGATCATTTCTACAGTTTGCTATGAAAAGAAATGTGTGACATTCCAATCCTCATTATCTGTGTCCCTGTTTCCGCAGGTACATGTCAGCTTGGCTGGGCCTATTACTGTGCTGGAGGTGGAGCAGCTGCAGCTATGTTGATCTGTACTTGGCTCTCTTGCTTTGCTGGAAGAAACCCCAAGCCTGTCATGTTAGTGGAGAGCATCATGAAGAACACCAATTCTTACGCCATGGAGCTTGACCACTGCCTCAAACCTTGAGCTTTGAATGAAGATTGATTGGAGAGGGTGGGAAAGGGAAGGAAAGGGAACTTGAAAAGAGGTACTAAGACAAGACTAGGCCAGGTGGTGCCCACCAGCCAGTAGTGCAGCATAGTATCTTTATGCTTTTAGCTCATCTGTCAATTACTTTCACTTTCCTATAAACCAGTGGGTCAGTGGATATTTAAAAAAATTCACCTGGAACATTTTTTTTCACTGCTGAGACAAAATAGCTGGCACCCACAAGTTGAAGGAGGAAAGGTTTATTTCAGCTCACAGTGATTCTGTCAAATACTTAACCAACTAGTGAGTACCCAAGGATGCCCAAGTCTAAATGTGATCCCTTATATAAAATTAGGAGCAGATTCTGACTTGAAAGGTAACTGCATAACCAAGCATCTCTTTGGAGTTCTTCAGTTCCTGTCTTCCTCTTACCTTAAAGCTTAAAGGCCAAGTCAGAATGAGTATGCAGGCATGGGCCATGAGATGGGCAGGGCTGGATCCTACCACTCCCTTTAGTATTTATTGCCATCCCCATCCCCAAACATCTCTGGACGTGCTCACTCAAATAATTTGTGTCTTTCTTAGGACCACACCTTCTCTTAGCTTTCTTCCTTCACGATTGTGAGGAAGCTTGGCAAGAGGATAACTCCCAGCAGGGAAAATGTTAATCATGGTTGCTTGCATATAGTGTGAGGCCACTTCTGTATTATAATTTAGGATATTCATAGGTATTCATTTTCTGTTCTAGTTGAGTAACTACCATCAAAATATAGTAGCAAATAATTCCTAATCCCTTATTGATATAGAAATGGTGTTCATCAGATTTCCTAAAAGGAGACTAACATTTGTTGAGTACTCAATGAATACGAATTCATAGTGATGATGAAAAAAAAAGTTTCTACTTCATCCTTATTGAGATTTCTATCAGAGTTCATTAAATTTAACTTGGAAATTTTTAGTGGCAATGTTGCCCCTGTAATCAGTTACCCCTGGTGGTGTTAATACAAGTTTCTCTACCTGTTTCAATGACTACTCATTAAATGATCTTTCCTCCAATTAAATTAAGCTAGACATGAAAGAGCACAGCCCTGATGTCACCTAAGACTGACCTTTATCCCGTCTGTACTCAAGCCCAATATATGGTGTAGAATATGGTGTCTCCTTGGGTCAAAATTATTGACTCTTTCCCTCAGTTAATTCAGGTTAGATCTTATTGAACCATATCTACAATTTTGGGCCTGTTACTCAAAAAGCTAATTCATGTTCTATCCTTATTTTTTCCTGAATGATTTGGATACAGCCTTATCTAGAAGATAAAAGGAAAAAACTGGCTTCATGAATGATGTGCTATTCATTAGAGTCAGGATTCTTATATTGACCTTAGGTACATAAGTGAGTTCAAGCATATATTCCATTGCATTCATATTTCATTCATTCATTTAGCCCCTTATTAACTATCCATTTCTTCCAGTGTCTTACTATGTGTTGTATTCTGTGTTAAGTATTAGTGTTAAAGAATATGGACACAGATTTTAATTGTAATAAGATCATTAATGAAATATTATTAATAACTGTAATAAGGCAATAATAAGGTATTGTCAAATAGATAAATAATGGCCATATTGCTTATGTGTTAAGAAAATAAATAAAAGATGCTAAAGATCTCAGAAAAGCCATATAAAATTTATGGAATGATCTGTTTCATGGAAAACTTTTCCAGAAAAGGTACTAGAATGGGTCTGAGAGATGAACAGGGAGCAATAGTCAGCAAAGGTAAATAGTACAGTAGGCAAGGGGAAGTTTAAGCAGAGGCACAGAGAGAGACAGGTATAAAAAAAGGAGGCAATACAAGATGAAAAAAAAACAAGGGACGCCGTGGTTATTCTAGACAAGGTAAAAAAAAATTGGCTTTATACTAAAGAAAGGCCATTGAAAGGGAAGGGCCATAAACATATCTGTTATATTTTCCCTAAGATAAATTTGATTATAGTAACAAGAATGAAAGAGAATAGAGAAAAACCAGAGATCTTCATTATCTACGTGGAAAAGATCAAGTCCTGAACTGAGTTAGTGACTGTGGTACTGGAGAGATAGATAGATTGGAAAGAGGATACAGTTTGAGCATTCCTAATCTGAAAATCTGAAATCTGAAATGCTACAAAATCCAAAGCTATTTAAGGGTTGTTTTGGTGCTCAAAATGTTTCAGAGTATTTGGGATTCTATAATTTTGGATTTAGAATGCTCAATTTGTAAATTCTATGAAATATTCCAAAATCCAAAAAAAACCATGAAATTAGAGACATTTCTGGTCCCAAGAATATCTCTCAACATACATATATGGGGTAAGTCCTATAGAATTTAATGTTTAATTGACAAGTGTAGGTAACAGAAATAGACAATTTTGGGATGACCACTCTGGTATGTGGGTGGTTCCTATTAGCAAAGTGGGGAATACAAGAAGAAGAATAGATTAAAAAACCTGGTGATTAAATTCATGTCATATGTTATCTCCTTCAAGGATGTGGATTAAGCTTCTAAGGTAAAGCAAGTTGAACATACCTCAGTAAGAGGGAAGGAATGTAATTGGAATTGTAGAATTCTATTTCCCTAAAAAAGATGACTCAGAACAACTGAAATAAAAATGGAACTGGATCAAACCTCATTTTTATTGCCTCGACTCAGTAATGTAGCCTTAATTTAGGAAAACAGCGTATGGAGAATATGTAATACGTTTAGGAAAAAGCAGATCACTTTCTTCAGAAAACTAGATTTGATTGAGCGATCTCTTTTTTTTTTTTTTTTTTTTCCTTGGGTTAGGAAATTTTGGGGGAATTCTTCAGGATAGTATTTATGGAAATGAGTGTGTACATCAAAGTCATAGCAAGCAACAGATGGTACATTCAGCGAGCTTAATTGACATGAGCTTAATGGAAGAACCCTTTTGGTAGTGTGAATAAGGTTAAGGGAACCTAAATGTCAAGTTAAATAGGGAAAGACTTAATAGTGAGGAGCCATCATCACACCTAAGACTGATGTAGTGAGAAGAATTAACAGTGTTATTGGAACCCAGAAGGAACTCTAGCTGTGTGGGATTGGCTGTCTGATAAAGAGTGGTGGGTTTAGGTAGCAAAATACAATATAAATATAGTATATAAGGGGACATCAGAATAAAATATACATCTCACTTTCTTCCTATTCTCTAATATTTTTCCAGTGCCCAGATCCAATCAGAAATCAGCTAACATAGAAGTCTTTCACTACAGTCCATTGATGTTAGGCCATGGCAGGAGAGGGCAAAACATGAAGCTTGAGAGTTTTGGGGGTGAAACAAAAATAACTCAGTGTCCTTAGCCCTAATGCTGTCATTGTCTTGTGATTCTCTTGAAAGTATGTGCTTTGCTGCGCTCCTTGGCCCAAATACCTAAACAAACTGTGCAAATATTATAATCTAAGAAGGAAGGGATTACTTTGAAAGAAAAATTTAAAACAACTATATTCTTTTAGGAATTAGTTGTTGAGAGAAGTTAGTTCGACTGTTTTTTTTTTCCTGAAGAAAAGAGATAATATTTGAAAAGTATTCATTTTCAGGGAAGAAACAAGGCCTCTGGGGGCTTAAATTCAGAGAGTACTGAGTACTATATTCAATTTGAATTTAAATTTCTCCCTGCCGGTATATGGTTTCTTCTCTCCTAAGCCTTGTTTTGGTGTAAATATCTGACGGATCCAATTTTTCCCCTATGGTCTGGAGTAGACTTTTGAAAGCTGCATTTGCCTTTTTGGGTTACTATTGTGCATGGGGGAAAGAGAAACTCGGAGATCTTTGTTTTTCCCATAGCTAGCTGTCTGTCATGCTTTCCCCACTTATGTGCAGACTGAATGCCTAACCATGGGTCCTTTTAACCTTGGAACCACTTCCATCTTGGGGAGGCAGTGAGAGGTAGGAGACCATTCACCTGGCCTAAGTCAGAGTAGACTGAATATTTAGGAGAGCCCATTTAGCATGGCACTTTTCCTAAAACAACACTGGATGGATAGTGACTGTCCAATTTGCATGTCTTTATAGGTTAAAATTTCTACACCTGGATGACAAGGTCTAAGTCGGTCATGTCTGTCTGGAGCACAGGCTCACTCTAATGGCACTCCTTAACCTTTGATCCAAGAGGAATAGGTGCTTCATTGACTAACAGCTACTGGTGATTTTCAGATAGTGGAATCCTGTGATGGTGGAATATGTGCCCCAGACCAAAATGGAAAGGCTCTGGCCCTTGGGAAAGAAAATTCTGGATTTTGCAATATTGGGTGGCAGTAAATCTTGGTAGGATGAGGCAACAAGGAAAACTTCTGAGAAGTAGAGACTTTGCACACTGTCAAATAAAATGCACTAAAAGGAAGAGTTCAGTCCTTTCAGAATGATATATGATTGATGTACTAGTCAGCTTTTTGATAATATAATGAAATGCTTGAGTCAGACGAATTGTGAAGGAAAGAGATTCATTTAGTTCACAGTTCTGAAGGTTCAAAGGTATGGTGCTTGCATTCATTAAATTCTGTTGAGGGCCTGCTCAGCAGTATCACATCTTGGTTGTGGCAATGGTAACATTGCGTATCAGTAGAAGCCACAGACTCAAGTGTCAGGCTGAGGTGTTCATAGCAACTCGTTCTCAGCAGAACTACAAGAGGGTGCAGAACTCCATTAGTCCTTTCCAAGGGTAGGATCCTCAGTTGATCTACATCAACTTATATTAGGTTTTATCTCTTAAAAAATCCACCTCCTCAAGTTGTTACAGTGGAGACCAAGTGCCTAATAGATGGCCCTTGTATTTCCCTGCAGTTTGTGTGTGGGGACCCACATTCCCATAACACACTTTCTTCAGACTCTAGCATTCACTCTATATAGAAACACCAACATACGAAAATTCTGGGATTGCTTTTGGTCCCAAGGCAGCCTGGTAATGAGGAAAAATGGAAGTATGAAAAAACTAGTAATGAACACATTGTATAAAAATGGAAAGCATCTTACTTCATGGCTTAAGGGGAAAGGTGTGCTATTTCTAGAATTTGTAATCAATTTCCCACTGGGTCCAATAAAACTGTCTTAGTAGACAGGAGGTAGAATCCTTACAAGGAATACTTTCCACCTTGCATGCTTGGTTTAAGATCATTTTTTGAGCTGGGGGGAGCTGGAGTTGAAGAATGCTTATTACCGACCTTTTTCTTGGGTGTAGGAAAATGAGTTTTCGGCTTCAATTTTCTTTTTTTCTACTTATGAGATTAGGATCTCTCAGGGTTGAACTGCTTTCTAAATGCATCAAACCCCCACTGAGTCCTACAAGCTAACAGCAAACAAACAACTGTTACGTGTGCACACAAATTATTTTAATTTTCATTGTGGGAGCCGCTTATATTAGGAAGGGAGAGAAGGGAGAAAAAAAAGTGCTTGATTTTGACTGCAGCACTGTATCCTGTTTCCTCCCTTTCCAGAAAGGAGGCCCTGGAGAGTAATACTTGGTAGAAGTACCACTCTCCCAAGACATTGGGAGACATTGTAGCCAGCATGCCCCCATGTGAGCACCACCCTGAAACAGGCTCCCTTTCATGTAGTGTTTGCTGAAGAGGTGGTGGCACCTTCAGATGAGGAAAAAAGTTTAAGAGAAATCAAAATGGTAATTTGGAGGCAAATATCAGAATCACTCCAGATGACAGTGCTTTCTGCCTCTGTGGTCTATTAGAATTGCATCTGGGGCCTGTGGTTTTCTTAAGAAGATATTTCTTTGTATCCTTATAAACTAAAATACTGTCCTCCTAGGCAGCCTGGCAAAGTGGTGGCAGACCAGTCTTTGGAGACACATCAAGGTTTGAACCCTAGCTCAAACATTTCTTAGCTATGTGTCCTTGGGCAAGTTACTCAGCATCTCTGAGTTTACTGTATTTTCTACAACATCTACTGCCTGCTGATGTACACTAGCCTTCTAGTGACCACATTCCTTTTAATTTTGATAGTTTACCAATCTTGTTCTAACACAGGGTTTTTAACTCTGGTTCACATTAAATCTGAGGAGGTTTTAGACATTTTTGTTCAACTGATTTAGACTCTCTGGGCACCACTAGTCTATAAAATCCCTCTATTCACTTGTTGCTATCATTTGCTTGTCTTTCAGTCACCTTGGATCACTGTCTTCTCCATTCATATCCTTTTGGAAACTTCAACATCAATGTGAGCCTTTATTTCAACTTCTTGGACTCTAAATTATTTGGTTATTGACTTTTTAACTGCCTATGATTTCTTCTGCTTTGCTTACTTTTGATATCACAAATAAACACACCATCATGAAACACTTGACTTCAAATGTCCCATTCTTTTTCAATACTTCCTGTAATGGATTATATTGTTTATAATCCACAGTCTTATGACAGGGGTCTAGCTCAGCAGCACAAATGCCTACCTGGCAAGTGCAAAATCTTGAGTTCAATCCCTAGAACCAAAAAAAAAAAAAATACCAACTCTTTGATCTCATCTCACTTTCCAATCTATATTTCATGACTTCTATTTGTAATTGCCTGTCCATAAATGTTCCACTCTTTTGCTTCTCATTCATCTGGCCATATATTTGTCCAAAAAAGTTTTAATACTGGTTAAATTGAATAACTTGCTTTATCTGTGCTTGTACCACATTCTCAACCAATGATGAAGAAAATTATTATTTACTCTTGCACTTTTTCTGTTTATGCCTACTGTCTTAAGGAATTCATCCCATGTTATGGTTTCAATATTTTTCTATACATTTATAGCTCAAAGCTCAGATTATGATCTCAAACAGCCTCATAAGAGAAAGCATTATTAATTGAGACTCTTAGAGCCTGGCATGAATGTGTAGACCTGAATCCTAGCACTCTGGAGGCTGAGACAGAGGCACTGTTATGACTTCAGTACCAGTCAGGGTGCAGGGGAAAATTTTGGGTTCTACTACAGGTATACTGAATAGAAATCTGCATTTAAGCAACACCCCCCATAGTGATTAATTTACATTAAACTTTGAGAAATACTAATGTATACCAATGGTTTTCTAACCTGATTGCAAATCAGGATCAACTTGTATTAAAATTAAGCTAAGATCAATGCCTACTTTCAAAGTTCTAATTTAAATGATCTAGAATAGGTTCTGGACATATATACATTTTTTAAGTCAACATGCAGTTTTCAAAACAAATTTATTCATTTAAAGATGGTATCATAAGATGACTTGTTTATCTTAGGGAATTGATACAAATGCATATCACATTTTAATCATTTTTGTTCTCCTTTTCTTTCCCTTTCCACCCTATCATCATTCATCCCTGATTGGCTTTGTACTTCTGGTTTCAGGCCATCTTCTGTCATCAGCCTCCTGAGTAAATGGGACAACAGGTGAGGATCACCACATCTAGCACCATGTAGTTTAATCTACAACTACAACCAAGAACCAGAAAACAAATACTAATAGCTCTCAGTATCTCCAGAGCAAACTTCTTTGAACTCCAGACTCATGTCTAATTACTTACTCCATTCTTTATTTGTATGTCTAGTGGGCTTGAAATATTACGTATATTAAAAACCGAGATCCCAATCTTACTTCTTAAATTTATTCCTTACAATTATTCTCACTTTAGTCAAGAAAATGTCAC